ATGTGATTGGTTGATTAGATAATTGCATTAATGAGAAATTGAACAGGTGTTCCTAATAATCCTTTAGGTGAGTGTATATTGCCAAAAGTATTGGGACACCTGCCTTTACACCCACATGAACTTTAATGACATCCCATTCTTAATACATAGGCTTTAATATGGAGTTGGCCCACCCTTTGCAGCAATAACAGCTTCAACTCTTCTGGGAATGCTGTCCACAAGGTTTAGGAGTCTCCGCTCTAATTCATCCCAAAGGTCTTTTGTTGAGTTGAGGTCAGGTCTCTGTGCAGGCCAATCAAGTTTCTCCACACCAGACTCACTCATCCATGTCCTTATGGACCTTGCTTTGTGCACTGGTGTGCAGTCATGTTCGAACAGGAAGGGGCCATCCTGAAACTGTTCCCACAAAGTTGGGAGCATGAAATTGTCCAAAATGGCTTTGAATGCTGCAGCATTAAGAGTTCCTTTCACTGGAACTAAGGGGCCAAACCCAACCCCTGACAAGCAACCCTACACCGTAATCTCCCCTTTACAGTTGGCAAAATGCAGTCAAGCAAGTATCGTTCTCCTGGAAATTGCCAAATTCAAACTCATCCAAAGGTTTGCCAGACAGAGAAGTGTGATTTGTCATTCCAAAGAACATGTCTCCACTTCTTTAGAGTCCAGTGGCAACGTGCATTACACCACTGCATCTGACGCTTTGGATTGCACTTGGATGCAGCTGCTTGGCCATGGAAACCCATTCCGTACTATTCTTGAGCTAATCTGAAGGCCACATGAAGTTTGGAGGTATGTAGCTATTGACTCTCCAGACAGTTGTTGACTTCTGCACACTGTGCACCTCAGCATGCGTTGTCCCTGGTCTGTGATTTTATGTGGCCTACCACTTTGTGGCTGAGTTGCTGTTGTTCCCAGTTGCTTCCGCTTTGTTATAATACCACTAACAGTTGACCGTGGAATATTTAGTAGCAAGGATGTTTCACAAATGGATTTATTGCACAGGTGGCATCCTACCACAGTACCACGTTTGAATTCACTGAGCTCCTGAGAGCGACCCATTCTTTTTCAAATGTTTGTAGAAGCAGTCTGCATGCCTAGGGGCTTGATTGTATATACCTGTGGCTATGGAAGTGATTGAAACACCTGAATTCAATGATTTGGAGGGATGTCTCAATATTTTGGCAATATAGAGTATGTCTTGGTGGGTTAGCTTAGCCTAGGGCTGTGTGTATAGAGAATTGAATATAGTTTTATTTTCTTCTTTCCTTTGGCACCATCCAGCCTCCCTTCCTTAGGGAAGCGGTATTGGGATCCTCACTAGGAAAACTGGTCTGTCTGGTACATGCAAATAAACTCTCTGTACGTGATTAATTTGAGACTCTGTATGCGTCGTTGGACTTCATGGCACATCCAATAGCAGACTGAGGAAATGGTCTTGCTCGCCTCACTCATAAAACCTGTTCGATCCTGACCTCGACCAGAGGGTTGTAACAATCTCCCCGTGTTTGCACAAGTGGTTGCGTTTTCCTTCACTCCTCAGAATGGACCTCCCTGCTTACTGCAGTGAGCTGATCATTTAGTCATTGCTTGCACAGACTACCAGAAATGTTATATGTGTTCAAGCTGAATCAGTGAATGTGGCATTTAGACTTGGAATGAACACTTTGAAACACATACTATGTGGGTTGAAGAGTCTTCAGGTCATGGGCAGTACTCTTCTTTAAAGCAAGTCATCCTCACAAAAGCAGGATGTCAACAAACAATTTAACAGATGTACCTAATAAAGTGGCCTATGAGTGTATATAAAGCTTGCCTGTCATTTCTGATATACAAACAGTAAAAAAATGGCATAAAACAGGGTATAAGAAAAATTGAAACTGTTTATTTTACAGGTTTCAGGAATGTTCCCTGGCCTTGATATTTCTTTATATGTATTATCTTGCCTGCAAGGTTGAGTTCTGGTACCATGATTCTACTGAATTATATTGCATTAACACATCAAACTGAAAGTTGCACCAATGATGAAGTTCGTTTATTTATATCACTATATTTATATTTATATCACTAAAGAGTGTGTACATTAGTTGTCTTGTTTTTTTAATTCTAGGCAATTTCTATTTTATGTATAATTACTGTAAAATGTACATTTGACTATTATATAACTTGCGCCTATGTGAAACATTCACTGTCAACTAGTCAAAAATTTGTCCACTCACTGGATTTTCAAGTAAATGTAGTGAGTAATGATACAGAGGCTAGCCACTTAAATCCAAACATATTTTCCATATTACAATGTACAGTCAAACCTCAGATTGCGAGTAACTTGGTTTGTGAGTGTTTTGCAGGATGAGCAATTTTTTTTTTATAAATTTTAACTTGATAAATGAGCGAGGTCTTGCAATATGAGTATTATGTATACGCTTTGTCTGCCTAGTGTCACGTAATCACAGTTGAGCAGATGATTCTTCTCTCTCTCTCTGCGGGATCGTGGGTAATCGTTTCCCATGCTCGGTCTCAGTCGGCGTGCCTCACTCGAATAGTCAAAATTTAGTAGAATAGTACCACCCAAATGAGAGTGTAGCAGTGTGAGCAATGAATCTGTTTAACGACAATGCAATGACCACATTTCCTTGAAATCGAAAAGGAAGCAAAATCGGCTGTCATTGGATAATTTCCTTGTTAAAGTCACACTAAAAGAAAATATTCCAGTGAGCCAACAGATAGCAGTGATTCCGTTAGTTATAGTGAGTCGTCCTACAAAATAACCCTCCTCATCTCCTGTCTCTCGTCTCCCCCACACCATCCATGAAGGTAAAGTGCAGGTTAATTTGTTTTATGTATTTTTACTTTATATTTTGTATTAATCATTTTTTGTATGAATATTTTTGGGTTGTGGAATGAATCATCTGAGTTTACATTATTTTGAATGGGAAAATTCACTTTGATATTCAGGCACTTTGGATTACGAGCACGTTTCCGGAACAAATTATGCTTGCAGTCCGAGGTTTTACTGTATTATTATTTATCTATGATGCCAGTTTGGGCCAGAATCAGTCATCTAGCAGAATGTTCATATCCTTGCAAATTATTTTATTCAGATATGCGTTAGAGACGTTGTTCATAACTGTAGATGTTCTCTTCTGTCTATGCCTGTTCTTCTGAGTCAACCATGCTAAAATCTGCATGAAAACATGGATGGAAAAAATAAGACAAAAACCTCAGAAGCACAGTTCACAAGGAAATATTCTGATTGGATGACAAATACGATCCAGTTGTGTTCTTTGTTGAATCTGTAAAATTGTGATTACAGCGAGAGGGACACATTTCATATAATAATTATAGGATCTTCTTAATGTCATAAAAAATGTCAAGTAGATCAAACTTACCTCAAGATAATTCATCAATCTGAGAAATTCAGAAATTAAACATAGATATTCAGCACATGATCGAAAGTAAATAGTGAACTTCTTACCAGTTGTTTGAGGTTCTTTATGTTCCACTTGCATTTTATGCAGAATGGAGTTTAAAATATATAATTATATCATTGTTTTTAGGGATGCAACAATATTATTGTTTTCCGACAAGTACTAATGCTCAATTTTTGAGAGGCCTACTCAGTGATACTGATACCAATTAGGGCAGGGCGATGACTAAAAAATAACATGGCATATTTTAATTATAAAATATTGGGCAAAACGATGATATTGAAATTACCAACCAACCGCCTGCCCCCCCCCCAACACAAGGAACCAAGTGGGTCACTTAATTTTTTTAGCCAAATAAAAACGTGAAAGTATGAAAATACAACATACAGATAATCCACTAAATAGCTGCCATTAAAAGTTGCTGGCCAGATGAATGCTTATTAGCGGTGCTGATTCTCATTTTTCAGTCTCTGTGGGAAACGATTGATCAGAGGTCTGGATTTAATTATGATTTGAAACATGTCATTGACAGTTAAATGGTTTGCAAACTTATTAAACCGTGTGTGAAAGTGTTACGCTCTCCATATACCCAGTCTTATAAGACCTTCTGTTATTGTCACTGCACTAGGGTTATCGTATGACATTTTCTCTCTGTTTTTGCAGAGTACTGCTGGTGACATCATACTCGTTCTTATGCTTTTTATTTTAGATGTTTAAGTAGACTACAGTATTACCATTGTATGATCCTGTTTTTGTAGCTATTCTTGATAGTTTAGTAGAGAAAAGTTTGCAGGTACTTCCAAAGTGCAGACATTTTGTCTGTATCTTTTTCACGAAAATGATATTGCTGATATTTTATTATATGGTATGTTAGGCATTGGCGCATTGTCACAAGGATGAGTATGAGTACACGACCACTAATACTAGTAGGGCCTACTGGTATCGGTGCATCCCTATTTGATTTCAGTTAGTGATGTACTTCCCAAGTACCCCATGACAACCATGGAAGAGATTTGTTCATTTCATTACATAAATAAAAACTGCATTTGTCATTTGAACCTTGTTGTTCGTCACCAGCAGTCACCAGCAACCTTGTCATTCTCCAAATGTAGTGGATTTACTATTGAAATCTGTATGTCACTATGATCCACATCTTAGTAAATCCAGTCCATTGTAATAGAGATGGGTCATTATTCTGTCATTAATTTCTCACATGTAGGATAAACCACTTAAAATAAAAGCTTTAAAAATTAAATCATAAGATAAATTATTTTATGACATTGATAATTTTCTCTGTATATTCCGCTAAATGGTGTAAAAATTATATAATAATCATTCTGTGTAGTCTGTGAGCATTTTGATATGGTCAGTCCATTTCACTCTTAATCCATTAATACATGCCCACCCTGCATATATGCAGTCCATTTACCAGCTCAAAACAAATACAAGTATGTAGTATCCCAACAAAACATGCCTCACTGTCTGAGGTCATAAAGAAACAGATACCAGCTCACTTTCTGGGTTCATAAAGAAAACTGAGGCTGAATGATGTTAATCTGCAGGAATCCTCTTCATGTCCAAAGAGGATAAAATGTTGAAGGTTGGAACATTTTTTATTTATTTTTGCCTCCTGAAAAATTGGGTGCAGAAGCCTTGGACTAGCATTTGTACAACTGTAAGGTGAATCTGGTGCCAGTTGGAGAAGAGGTGTTGGCAGTATAATCGTGCAGCTGCCACAGATTTTAGGCGATAAAAAAGTCACAGCTCACTCTGCTGGCAGTTCTGTAGAGGGTCACAAGAAATCCACACACACATAAATGGACTGTGGATATATACTAAAAAATGGTGGTCTCGTACTTAGTGCTGGCTCCCCTCTTGGCCTCATGCCCTGGCTCCACTATCCAAGCCACATTGGCTTGGCTCTTCTGGTTGATCACAGGTAGTTCTACCTGAGATAAACAAAAGAGAGTTGGGTAGAGGATTCACTAAGAGGATGTGAGCACAGAAACACAAAATGATTCAAACACTCATTGTTCAGAAACGGTTTATACTATCAAGGTTTTTGGTAATCAGTCAATTATATTGCCAGTAATTAACTGACAGCCAACTGTCAGTTAAGATTTAGATAGTTGAAAAGTTTTTGAAAGATTTAGGTAGTGGAAAATTTTGAGAAGAAAATACAAATGACATGCACATGCTGATTTAAGTCAATTTGACTTCAGTATAAATGCTTCTATACAGCAATACCAAATATTTGTTTTAGCCCATAGGCTAAAACTCATTATGTGGTGGAGGGATGTGAAAGACTTCTAAAGATGAAACCAGCAAAAAGCGTTTACATTTCATTCAAAGCTTTGTATTTTCACACAGAAATGTATTGCCTGGGAATAAAAATCTAAAATGCTGTTTGCTTGAATTAGAAGTTTATTATTAAACTTGAAGGATTATTCTCCATTCAAGGCATTTTGTAACTTTTTAGTAAAATAAGCATAATATGATTACACAGAGACACACTTGCAAGGTTTACAGGCCTGGCTGATTCCCTGTCCAACAGGAGAATGCTGTCTTAAATGGGAGCTACCTATACATTCAGATTTATTTCCTTAACATATATATTTCCATATCTATTTTCCACCGCTTATCCAGGTTGCGGGGGCAGCAGTCTGAGCAGAGATGCCCAGATCTCCCTCTTTCCAGCCACCTCCTCCAGCTCTGGGAATATCACATTTTGATCTCCATGAAAGGCACAGATACATATATACAGTTAAGGAAGCGCACAGGCTCAGCCAGCATCCAACACCCCTTTGAACATCTGAAGACCCAGTGGTGATCATTCTTCTAGCCATATGATTTCAAACCAAGACCTTCTAAGAAGACAGGCACAGATTCATAACCCACTGAGCTACATAAAGTCCCAAAAAACAGATCTCAAATTTATCAATGTCACCATTATGATAACCAGCAGAAATTCTATATCTGTGGAAAAATATCATTGGCACCTTTACCATATAGACTAGAGAATTACCTTATATTCTGTGTGAAAGAATTAGTTACTGGAGAGTACTGTGCATCTATTATAATACTGAGGGAGGGGCACTTATAATCACAAAAAGTTACTCTGCATTTCAATATCCCAGGGAGTCTTTTGCTGTTAAAATGCACACATTTCTGTCATCTGTGAGGTATGGTCACAACACAGAAGAGAGGTGAATGTTACAGGTAAAGGTTAGGTTTGGCTTGAGCAGTGAAATCACTCACAGACTTAACACTGAAGCGGGGCTTGGGGATGGGTTGGCCAGCCTTGCTATCAAAATTTTCGGGCAGTGTGGCCGAGGCTTGCCCACTAACTCGTGCCTGGAGAGCCAGCTGGTACGCCACCTCGAATGCCTGGCCCAGTGTCAGGATGATCTCATAAGCTTGGTTCTGCATCACACAAACAAATATATGAAAATATATAAAAAACAAAAAAAGTTATATGACACAATACTAGTTTATCTGCCTCATTTTTCAGGGGAAGACAAGGGTGATATAGGACACTCACCACATCAAAAGCTGTAAAGACATGGCAATGATTCTGACTGGATTTCAGGTCCCTGGTGATGTAGGCAAATGTGGAGAGCTCCTCTGGGTCTTGGGCAGCACATGAGATGTTGCGGACCTCATGCTCAGCAATTAGATTCTGCCATTCAGAAAAAGATCTGTGAATCTCAGCACTCTAATTTGTTCTCAACTTTCAACACTGTTTTGGCAACTAGACAGGAACAGCTTTTTTCAGTAAAATGAATGTTAATGTAGATTGACAATACTGTACTTTAGCAAAGTAAAGTTTCACAAGTTTATTTTTTCAGTTGTATTGCTGACATTTCACCATTCTTTGCCCTTTTTCAGATATTTCCCTTGAATGACTCAGGGTAAATAACTTTTAGCAGGATTCTACAGCATGCCTTCACTGGGACTTATCCCTACAACCTTCAAAACAAATGACTATGTCTTTAACCAGCACACTGTTCAAATGTTAATCAAAATATGTACTAAATTAGGAGAATAGAGAAAATTACCTTGTTTATGGCATCAATAAACTTAACTCCCTTGTAGGAAACTGAGAGTACAATGGTGGGGATTTTCTTCATTGGATCTGAACACTGATGAATGAAGGCATAAAAAAACAATTCAGATCAAAGAGCCTATTCAGATTCTGTTAAACATAATGATAATTTGAACATCTCTTCATTGTGTTCATCAGCATCTGATTTTGTTGATGAAGTATTATGTATGTACCTTTAAACATAAATATGTATGCTTGCACATGTCTAAATGTGAATATATTCTTCATTTTGTTTACATACATACTTGTGTACTATTTAGAGATTGTGCGTGTGTTTCTGAGTGTGTGATGGTCCCCAGGGCTATTACCCTCATTTTTGCACAGGCTTCTTGCGTAGATTCAGTTCCCCTCAGTTCCTTGATTTGTATTGACCCCAAGTACTAAAGGTGAATAGAGAGATCTTCTGAATAGGACATCAATTATAGCCAAACAAAAAACATAAATGCAGCTACTACAAGACAGCACCAAAATGAATATAATTTACCATTTCCAGATGGCAACTGGTTGGTTAGTACTGGTTTTTACTGCAACAAAGAAATCTTTTTAAATCTATCAAACCATCACAAGACAGCAATTTAATCTATTCTAATTCTATGTCTGGTTTTGAATAGAATGAATAGAAAATGCTGTCCCCTTTAGGCAGAGGATGGTAAATGTGGTCCAGTATATAGTGCAGGATTTGGACAAGCTTAACGAGATAAAAGTTCAGCTTAAAAAGTGATGAGAGGACATGAAATCTTATGAGTTTAGCCTTCTCCTCTCCAACCTAATACTATAGTTATTTGTTAACTCCTTCATGAAGAGTCTGCCTTGTCTCCCTCCAAACAGCTGGCCAGGATATGGAACTCACATAAGCTTCATAGTCACATGACTGGAAGATGAGCTTCTCTGGGTGGTGCTGCCAGTACTGTACTGGTGTGGAAGGCGTTGCTTCATTGGGTGGTCGCAACATTATAGGCTCAGGCCATTCACCATGCTGAAACCACATGTTAAGATGGAAACTGAGACTATCTATTTGCTTACTATCTTTAAAAAGTCCAAACATTATAGAATACTAATTTTATTATTTTACCCCTCATATGGATTTCCACTACAACACAATAAGCTAATTCTGTTTAGTTATTTTTTGTAGGTAGAGAAGGCAAATATCGATGCTAAAAAGGGTTGTCACAGCAGATGCAACAGACAAACAAGCAAATAAAAAACAAATACAAGATGTGGACAAGGTGAAACAAGAAGTGTTCTCGCAAAACAGTACATCAAATGCTTATGGCCACTGACATTAGTAAGGAGGCTAGCAGAGGGCTGAAAAACAAAATTGGAAACTACTGTGCGGCCTTTCTCCCTCTGCAACTTAGGGTCACCCTCAAGTGTTGCCCACACATGACAACAGAGTGGAGAAAGAAATTTTTAGAAGAAACTTACAATCTGATAGCAGCCCTTGGTAATATTCAGTGTCAAATAGAATCATGCTGTATTAATGCTATCCAGTAAAATCATTAGTGTAGATCTAGGGATTTTCTTCAAAGTTTGACACCTTGTTAACCTTTTGTCAATCTACACTAATACAGTCTGTCCAACTACACAATGAGGCTATTGCAGTCACAACGAGATGCCACAATAATCCACCATCTAAAATTATAGCTAGTTCCTACACTGTAAAAAATGGCCGTAAAAAATACAGTAAAAATACCTTAAATGGCGACGGAAAAATACCGTAAATAACAATCAGGTAAAATACCGTGTCAAATATAGAAAAAGAACTGTAAATGTAAATACAAAAAAAATCTATTTTTAATACATTGTTTGACTGTACAATTTTTAAAAATGCAGTAAAAAAATACTGTAAAACACCTTAAATGATAATGGGAATGTACTGTAAATATCAATCAGGTAAAATACTTTTTAAAATATATAAACTATTTGTAAGTATAAAATTTATCTTTATTTAATACGATTTTTAGTTTTTTTTTTTTTTGCTTCAGTTACTGGTGTAATCTGTACCATGATAATGACATGAGAATACGTGTTAAAATACAGTTTTGAATATGTAGTTCTACAGTTTATGGACACAAGGTATACTGTTGTACATTAAACAGTGCTTTACAGTAGAATTTATACTGTGCCGTCAGTGAGCCAAGCGCCGTCTGGCTATTTGCATGTGTCCCAGCATGCCGCACTGTCGTGCTGACAACGGCCGCTGTCTGTGTCATGCATGTAGTTAATGTTCCAGGTTCCATGCATTGTGTGTTCTGTACTGGTGCCCTGCTTAAGTTCAGACTTTATCCCTGTGTGTTTGACTGTGTATACGTTACCCACCATGTGTAGTTCCCATTGTTCATACAGTGACCCTCCCCCTGTTACACCAGTTAGAAGACATTTAACTTAAACTAGACTGTTTTGAACAGCCAATAGTTTGTTATTCCTTATATAAACTGAATCATTAAAGCTTTTTAAATTGTTTACTTTGATGGTGAAGACAGCTGTAACAGTGTAAATGGTAGAACCTAAATATATACTGTGGAACACTGGAGGACAAACACAAGAGACTCCAAATCTAGACAATATACTCTCTCATACTGTACAAATATAAAATATGTTACCACACATTGTAATATTTGGGTGTCCCAAAATTCTTAGTGAGGTTTTAAGCTTTCATAACTTTCATAAACTTTTTAAAATTTATTTTAGGGTAACTGATCGAAGATGGCAAATGTTGAAAAAAAAAAAGTGAAGTGCGTACTGCAGATAGCTGCATAGCCACTTCGGTCACCTGATCTCTGTCCTATTTAATTTTTTTCATGTCGAGTCACATCAAAACTGTTGTGTATGCATCAAGCCTTCATTCTTTGGGTGATCTTAAGGCTAGAATCACAAATATATTAGTCTCTAAGCAGCAGCTGATAAAAATCCACTAGAGCAGGGTATAGTACAAGATAGTGGTTTTGCTGAAATTTAATAACAAAAATAATAGCAGGAAGCAAAAATGTGGACTGACTGGGTTGAGCAACACTGGGCTGGCACATACAGCTAAATTTCAACTGGAACACAATATCATAGATAACTCAAGAGGTCTGCATCACTAATTTGCTTAACTCATTAAGTATTTTAAGGTATGTTTGACTGTTCCAAAGCATTGGTCTCTCTCTAACCATCAGATGTGCATTAAATACAGTGATACATTGACCACTGTTGTCTGTTCCACATTGCTCCGCCTCTTTGTACTGAGAACACAGACCTTGGAGACAGAGGTTTTTACACATTATCGGCACTTATTTTGGGGTACCTACAATACCTCTACATCTAATTGAAATTAAATAATTTAAATAATAGGTGTGCCAAGAGGTCTACATTAATTACACTTTCAAATGTGTTTTTGTGAGTTTATAGAATTTATCCATGGGAAGTTATTAAAGCTTAATATTGCACTTTTGGGACTTTTTACTTTGATATCCTTGAATAACCATTGAGTAGTAATCGTGCAGCTACAAGTAGGTGGGTGCGTAATACTTGGAATCCTCCTCTCACTCCTTATTGTGTTTCTCCAGCCTATTTCCTGTTGCCTTATGCATGGAAAGTGGAGTTGAGGAAGTTATGTGGCATCGAGTTAATATTTAGATTTTTTTACAGGAAGGACAGAATGGTTTGCTCCAACAATCCATTAGGTCTCATCATTATTTACATTGCCTACAACAATTCACAAAGCAGAGACAAAAATCCCTCTGGTTACGTAGTCTCATACAACCTCTTTCTTCATTCTTTCATTCCTGTAGAATTTCAGTCGCTATTCTCTCCTCTCCATGTAGTAATCCCTAATTGTCTCAGCCCATTCCTCTGACATTTTTTGGAATAAGCACTTTAATGGCATCCAGCATTACCTGGTATGTTTAAAAGGTGGAAGCACCCCCTAGCATATGGGAAAGCACATTACTCCTCTGTATTCACACAACATCTTCCTTTTGTTTCCCTACATGTTTTGGGCTTAACATGCAAACCACCACAATCTTGTTTACTGATTGATACTGACCATACTAACTTGAGCCATCTGTCTCTCTAATTTCGTCCGTGGCATGTCGTCAAAGTAACTGTCGTTTGGGTGCCGCTGGGTGTCTCCTTGCATGATGAGCTTCTGAAAATCCAGCGAGCCAACAGGAAGGGATGTGTGGTTCACACTGGGATCCTGTTGGGCAGTGTGTCACATTTAATAGCTTCCATTCAGACTTGCTGTTTCTCACTTTAGTCCTCATGGAAATTTTTGTACCCTCCCAGCTCCCAGCACACCTGAACCAAACAATCAAGAACACCAAATACCTGGGACAGGAGTGTTGGGAGCTGGGAGGAAGCAAAAATGTGGACTAACTGACTAGGTTGAGAAATGCTAAGCTGGCACATACAGCTAAATTTCAACTGGAATACAATACTACAGGTGATTCAAGAAGTCTACATCACTAATTTGCTTAACTCATTAAGTATTTCAAGGTATGTTTGACTGTTCCCGAACATTGTTCTCTCTCTAACCATCAGGTGTGCATTGAATACAGTGATACATTGACTACTGTTGTCTGTTCCACATTGCTCTGCCTCTTTATACTGAGAATACAGACCTTGGAGACAAAGAGGATTTTACATATTATAGGCACTTACTTTGGGATATCCTCAATATCTCCACATCTAATAGAAGTTAAAGACATTGATTTTTCTCACCCTGAGGGAGGTGATTCGAAGGGGCTTTTGAAGTAGGTTGTCTTGAAGTGATGCCTGAATCCTCTTCCTGTGTCCTAATGCAGTTATCTTCAACACCTTTGAGACACAGAAAGAACAGTTCAATAATATTAGAAATAAACTATATAAATACTAAAAGTGAGAACATTGAATCATGCCTCTGGTCTGTGTGTTCTCCTGTAAGTAATCAAATTGAAGAGTCTAATTTCAGCCTAATGATGGTTTATTGAACAACAAAAATAATATAAATTAAAAGTGTAGAAATGGGATAGGCAACTGGAAGATGGGTGGACATCAACACTTCACTATTAAGTTCCAGATGTGCCATTTTCATCTAAAATATATAGGTACTATTTTTATGCTTTTTTCATGCTATAATATATATAGCTCTGGAAAAAATTAAGAGACCACTCCATATATATATTTTTTCAAATCTGCACATTTAAATCCTGGTTTAATCCTGGTTCTGCTGGTAGAAGGCTACACAGCAAGTTGCTTTCAGGCTAAAAATTTCTAAAACAGCAGTATACAAGAACAAGATGAAACAGGAGACACTGGGAATGAAAAAAAAACAGCCAGGTAGAGGGCGGAAGCAACTTTCAAATGGCAGAGATGTCCATAAACTTATCCAACAGTTTCTCATGAAATATGGAAGATACTTCAAAAATGACCTAAAATGAAGTGACTTTCCAAAGCAATGGGAATCATTAAGTGCAGGTGTGAAGTGTATTGCTAGGACAGTTTTTATCTGGCTCGTAGAAGCAGGACTGAAGCCCCATAAAGCAAGAAGAAGGCGTCTATCCCATTAATGAGAAACAGAGAAGAACCAGGCTGCAGTTATTATTCAGACACACACCGATAAATTGAGAAATGAGTGAAACAAGAAATTGTGCCGTGGTCTCTTATTTTTTTCCAGAGTTGTATGTATAGGTATTAGGGATGTATAGATACACTCAACTCACAATTCGATACGATTCACAATTCTGAGTTCATGATACGATTTTCTCACAATTTTTTAACAGAATGAGCTCCAGACAAATTTATTAAAAAATATTCCTTTATTTATCTTTCTAAACTGTGCAAAACGAGTCCTCTTCTTAACAGTGCAACTGAAATTGAATAAAATACTGTTTTAAAAAATCCCAAATAAAAAAAAAATCTTCAAATAAACGGTAACACTTTACATTAACTGCACCTTCATTCATCGTTACATGCCTAATAGGTATTAACACTCTATACACCAACAATCATAATTTTTATACTTTATTCAATTCAATTCAATTTTATTTATATAGAGCATTATCACAACATTACATTGTCTCAATGCGCTTTACATTTCTGCCTCGTAAGGACCCCCCACTGAGTAAGCCAAAGGCAACGGTGGCAAGGAAAAACTCCCTAAGAGGAAGAAACCTTGGGAGGAACCAGACCCAAAGGGGGAGCCCATCCTCCAGGGGCCGGCAGATGAGTCAAACAAAGAAGATGATATAACTAAGCTAATACAGGGTTTGAAATATATGTCTCAATGCAGCGGCCGACCGGTGCAGTAAATTATATTATCACAATGTCTCTCCAATCATCATAATGATAATACTCCAGTCATTCCATCTGATTACGGTGTTATGACAATGCCCCAATTAGTATTCAATCAGCCACAGAGGATGAACAAAATAATGGAAACACCAGTACATGAAAAAGGACTTTCACTTTTAAGTAATTAAATCACAAACTATGTACCATTGCAGCTACAAATGTGATTCATATTAGGTTGATTAATGTTAACTGTGTGTCTCAACAGCTATTTTCATCCACTAGAAACAACTTTTCATTCAGTCACTACAGACCCAATAAAAAAGTAGGCAAAGTGTGGCTCAGCGGGCAAAGCCTCTGTGCTTGTGATTGGAAGGTTTTCGGTTTGAGCCTCAATATGCTAGTTACATGTCCAAGAACCCTCGAGCAAGGCCCTTAACCCACAGCTCCAGAGGTGCTGACCCTATGCTGTGACCCCCAAACTTACTCTCACCTGTTTGTGTGTCTCATGGAAAGCAGAACTGGGAAAGGAAAATAAATGAATAAAGTACCTTTAATAAAAAAAAAAATCAACAATACCAATAGAGAAATGTTAAAATTGAAAGCTATGTTTAATACCCATTTATACTCTTAAACAAAAATTCTAATTATTTGTGAGGAAAAAGTTACTACACCCCTACACTTATCACTGTGTTAATACTAAAAATGACAATATTAACCAAATCAGGCACAAATGAATAGATCATTATTAGACAGTATCTTTTAGAGTCAAACCTTACATAAACAACTGGTCTAATTTGGTGACATACTTTTTCCCACAGAGAAAAGTTATATTCTGTTGAATTTTGTTGGATAAATGATTTTGAAGTCAAAATTTCATTGTTTTTGTTATACTACATCACCTTTATTTATCAAAACTGTTCAAACGAACAGTACATTTTTAGTTTGTTCAAGTATGTAAAAGACAAATATTTTCAAGAAATTTACAGTAAAGTCAAAGTCAAACTTTATTGTCATCTTTCCGTATACAAGTATACGGAATATATACAGTAGAGATTCTGTGCAAGACAAGAAGAGTGCAAATGAACTGAGAAGCATTTTAAGTAAAGTGCAGTAAACGCTAACAGCTTTCTGGTGCAGAAGCAAAGTAAGATTGTTTTATGCAATATGATTTTTTGTGCAAATACTGATATGGTCCAAGTAGCCGAGGTGGGGGCGGGGGAAGGCCTTGTAGGTCTCACGAACGTTAATATAAACAATGTCCAAACCATTCTAACACGATATTTATACCTAAGTCCAATTAAATGCAGAATTACATTTGTTTTGTTTGCACGATTTCCAGTCCTAGTTAAAAGCACCACTCTAACTACAGCGCAACATGGTCTTAGCAAGAAACACTTCTTGCATGCAAAAACAGCTATCCAAGTGAACAATAGTAATGTCCAATTCATGACTTGTTCTTTTGAACTGGTTATTTTCATTGAATTTGTGGAATCGGTTTTAAAATCTAAAAGAATCAAACTTTTTGTCTAAATATTTGACAAATTATCATATAACAACACAGCAACTTTTTTTAAAATTTCACTTACATTTGTAGTTGTCACACCCGGCTCCGTCCGACCCTCATGTGTGCCACGCCCCCCTCATTACCTCGTGTTTTTCCCTGATGGATCTCACCTGTTGCTCGTTTTCCTTAGCTTGTGTAGCGTATTTAGTCCTTGTCAGTGTCAGTTTCCGAGGTTGGTCATTGAGTGTTGTTACGTGTCGTCCCTTCTCTTCTACCCTGCTCGTCATTAAAGTCTCGTTTACCCGAACCTCCGACTCCGTGAGCCTGTTTATCCGCCTGCTCACCCACGAGCGTGACAGTAGTCATGTTACCTTCAGTGCCCCTCCGCATACTGTAATCCATAGTATTTCTGGTGTGCGTCTGCCTGCTGCAGGGTAGCTAGGCTCATTGATCTCGACTAATGACTCCCAAATATGCTTCATCAACCATTTGCTGTATTTCCTGACTCCACTAGATGGTGGTCTCTGTTCAAAAAAGGGCTCAAAACATGCCCCAGTAAATCAAGAGCACAATTGTGGGCAGAAATACAACAAATGGTTCATGAAGCATCGTTTTGGCTATCACTACTTTCAACTCTCGACAATAAACAAATATTTCGAATTCAGCACATTCGGAGCGGCTACTAGGCAATTCTCGTGAGACTCATAAGACCCACAGGAGATGTTTGTAATTCAATTTATTAATGTATTAATTTTAATATTAAGATATTATAATGGATTTCTTATTTAAAGTTCATAAAACTACATTATTAGCCACTGGTATCCCTGTTTTTTTATTATATAATTTATTTCATTTTGCAAAAGTTAGAAAGTTTTGAAGTCGCATTCCCATAACCCTATTTTTTCCATTGGATATGTATATTTTAGTATGCCATTTTAACTGAACAGGAGGTTTTTCAGGAACACATTAATCATGTTGTAGTAAGATTTACTTTTTCACAGCACCATATTTATCATTATTATGTCAACACTCTAGCTACAGTCAGTCTATCAAGCCAGCACACCACTATTCATCTCCATCTGTTTACCATCACTACTGAATGTTTTTCTGGTTCATATCCATATCCATCCTTATATGTAAATCGGTATAAGTGTGTTCCAAAATTAACATATTACATTTATGAATGTAAAGTACTCCAACAAAAACACTAATTATACACACTTAGCTAAAGAAAATGAATGAATGGGTGGTTTACGTGTAATTACAGAATAAAAATAGGTTTGAAATGTTTGTTGATGGTAAGCCAACAGTCTGAAATAAAAAATAGGTTCAAATATATAAATGAATGATGCTAACATCAAACATGCAAACATGGCGGTGCGCTCAGACGCTGCGGCTCAGTGCTCTTATTCACGATGCACTGCAAATTTCGTTGTACATTGTGCAATGACAATAAAGCTATTACTATTACTATTAAATATTTATTTGATGAGTAGTCATTACAGTATATGACTCGAGGTATGATAACGCGTACTTCCTTAAGGTTTTACAGATTCATTCTTCTTTATGGCACTCATATGATTCCATATGAATCATAACACAAACACAAGCAGCTGGCTTTAATGTGAAAAAGTGATCCAATCCGAAAAATATCAAAAGTGATCCCAAACATGACTGCAAGAGACATGCTACCCATAAGCTGTGTTGAAGGGAAGAGCTTTAGGGAGCTAGTTAATTATGTTGAACCGGAATATAATGTACCCTTCCGAAGAGCTATCACTAAGGGGATAGAAAGGCTGAAAGCAGTTTGAAGAACTGCCAAAAGCCACAAAAATGCTCTCAACAACAAGGTATGTGGCAATTTCAACAGATATTTGGACCTCTGGTGTAATTGTTAACAAGATCACAAACAAAATTTCCCCTGAACCCGCTAATTTTATTAAATAAAAATATATTGTAATATCTGGTAGACCCAGACATCACAGCAGTAGGAACTACAAAAGCACTCCAACACACATAACAATGTTAAACAGGGAGGTCT